ATTTTAATTTTATAGTATATACTTATATATAAATACATTCATGAATGTTTTTAATTAATGGATTTTATAATAATACAAATAGCAATGTGTAACATTTTGCCATATTTAGTGCAACGCTTTTATTTGTTCCCCACAAAATAGTGTTTTTTCACTAAATGTTTGAATTTCTAAAATTACTGTGCACTGATTTTTCTAGAATAACTTTTGCTGCCGAATTATCCACTAACCGAGTTTATGATAAATTTTTGTCATAGATTATAAATGTCACGAATTCGGTCCATGGACTTCCGTTTATTCACCACCAGAGGTCACCCTTTCCATTACATTGACTCTCGCACAACACAAACTGTTGCATAGCACCCCGGACTACATATCCCATCATTCTTTGCACGATTCGCCCCTGTGATTCTGTCTGCCGATCGGTGACCTACGCTAGCCCTGGGACTATTCTTGTGTTTTGCCGGCCATATACCTGTTTGCCATTGTTTGACCCTGCCTGTTTACCACGTCTCTTTAATAAAGCCTGCAGATGGATCCACACGTCTCACGTCTCGTCAGCCCCGTTACAATAAACATACATAGGCCTATATTTTTTTTATATTTGTTTATTTTATTTTTCTTTATAATGAAGTAGTCTGTATCTAGTAGATTGTGAAAGAATGATTATCAGTTCCACACACAGAAATATATAAATTCTACATTTATGTAAATGAGGGAAAAAAACTTCACTGGTATCGGATCGGTATCGGTCAACAACGAACCCTGGGTATCGGAATCGGTATCGGAGGTGAAAAAGGCGGATCGGAGCATCCCTAGTCCCCGATCGGAGTGATTATTCCTTTAACTTGCTGGGAATCCAGCACCAACTCTATCTTCATTATGCCCCTTTCGTTCCCTAGACGTGGGGCGTAATAATGCATTATACAGAGGTAAGATGAAAAATGAAATACCATCTAAACTTTTCTGAAGACAGTCAGTTCCCCTCAGAGATACATTAATATAAACCCCCCACCCCAACTGTATCGCGATTCATTTAACCGACTTGAATTGTCACATATTTGTAGCGAAGGTTCCTTGGGAAGCACAACCTGATCATCAGCTTCCTTAAAAGTGCCAGGAGGTTAAAACCTCTTAGGCCACACCTTATTCCCTCTTAACACCTCCTTGTGGTCTAGCTGGGCCTATAGAGATTTGCGGTTGAGCCCCTGGAGTCAGTCGAGCTTAGCGGCCTCTCACTAAAGACGGACCTGCAAGCATTCTCTGTTAACCTCCCTCCAGGCAGGATGTATAGGAAAAACAATACTTCCTCAGAGCAAACTGCAGGGGTCCATTCTTCGTACCTCGCTTAATACATCTGAGATGATTTGACAGATGCCAGATCTTCTCATCGTGATAACTGATCTCTGCATGTTTTCATATCATTACTAAGTATATCATTACTAAGTAATTAATTTGTTGACTAGATGCAGCATTAGTAGAGAAAGGACAGCACCTCAAATGGTAAGAACAATGTGACAAAAATACACGCAAGTCCGACCCAAATGCTTAATTGATTGTTACCATCTATTTGGATTAGTTTATATCCAACTGGTCACATTAAAGCATTTGTTAACCAGCGAAGTTGCAAATTTAAAGCTGTGACGTGAGAAAGCAAACTGGTATGTTCATTCAGCCGACATAAATCCTGCCA